GGCTAGACAATGATGGTCGGTTGGCATTACAAATGGTCGGCCGGCTATTTCTTCCTGCAGAATCCTGCAGTTGGCAGCAGCAGAGAGCAAGCAGGGTATGGCATGGAATTTTCAAGCAAATGTGAGCATGGCCACACTCCCTATCATGCAATGGACTCAAGGGAGCGTGGCTCTTGACCCTCGGGCCATCATTTGTGCATTTTGATGCATGATGGCCTAAGAGGCCAAGTTTGCCATTCAACGTAAATGCATGCACAAAAGAAATGAATGCCTCATGCCCTATCATGTTGAGGTCAAGGGCATTGGTGACCGAGGAGTGAGACGTGTTTCGTCACTTTAAGGACGAACACACCTCATTCCTCAAGTTTGGTTTGACACCCCAAACCAAACAAGATGCAATGCATGTATGCCATATACAATGCAAAGTGATGCAACTCATGCAAGGCAATATGAGCATGCTAAGCTAATGCAACATGACACTACTTACTCATGCAAGCTAAACTAATAGAATATGAACATGTCAAGCATACAACAAGACTATGTGATGCACTTAGCTAAACAATATGCAAACATGCAAACAAGATATAATGCAAGCATGCAACTAATGTAATGCAACATGCATCATGCTAAGCATGCAACTATATATGAGGGAGGTCTTAAATTGAAATGAGAGGCCTCAACCATGTCCCAAAACAGTGGCCAAAAGTGGTGGAAATGGTGGACAAATGCTCATGCAAACATGCATACCAATGGGCCTAAAGACTAAGGCATAAAAAGGAGCATTCTACTACAACTATCATGACCGCTCATGGCACGGACTAAGAAACTAAAAACAGAGTTTCTATGCATCAAAATATGCCCCAAAACCCACTGATATGGCAGCCCCAAAGACTTAAACACATAAACATGCACAATGGCTTATATATGGAGCATAGGATCACATCTCTTCAAAGCATTGAAAGGATAACAAAATGCAAACATGTAAGCATAAAACATGGACTGAAATGACCTAATAAGTGATTCCAAATCACTAAAATTTCCAAGATAATGCATGCTAATGATGCACACACCCAATGGCAACTGCTAGAAAGCAAAGAGACTATACAAAGCATGAAAGGCATGGCCAAATCAACACCCAACAGACCTCAAGCATGATGAAACACGACCAAAAGCTTCACAAAGCTAGGCAAAAACATGCAAGCATGATGGTCTAATGGCAAGATGCACTTCTAGGCAAAATAGGGGAATACAAGGCAAGTGTATAATGCATGAAATGGACCATTAATCTGACCAAAAATAGAGGCATATTATGACCTAACAACACCCAAAAACCTCTAAAATGGAGCCAAAGACAACTACTCATGCATGCTACCATTATGAACCAAAAACATAGACAAAAGAGACACAACGGGAGAGGGGTGTGCCTCCCCTATGCAAGACCCCAAAACCTCTTCTTGACCACTGAAAATCCTCTGGATTTCAGTGGTGAGAAGACCAACACACGAAGGTATTCAAAGCTTAACCAAAGATGGCACAAAAGGGCCAAACAAGGCCTAAGAGGGGAAGGTCGACCCCCAACACAAAAATGACCTTAATGAAACATCTTAAGCATATAAATACAAGACTTTTTTTTCAGTTATACACAAAGTTCAAAACAGCATGCAAAGGGGGGTAAAAGCTAATGCAAGATTGGGGAATATAAAGCAATAGTGTTACCCTTGAAGAACAGCAAGTCCAGCCCCCTTCTTCTGATCAAAACCAGCTCAAAACTTCAAGAACAAACCCTCAACACCTCCAAAGTCGAAGTATGGTGTAATGCTAGGTGACTTAGTGCAAAACTAAGAACAAAACACACTTTTTTGGCTCTCTAGCACACACAAGTGAAGAGAGAGATGGAGATATAGAGAGAGAAGGTGTATATATCAGGTATATATGTATTAGGTCTGATTTGTGTTGAACCTCCTCAAAGGAGGAGGGAGGCCTCCTTATATAGACAAGGCAAAAGGCCTAAACTTCCAAGAGAAGTTATCAAAAGGGGTCAAGGCTTCCTAAAGAAGCTAAGGCAAAGGGGCCAAGGCTTCCTTAGGAAGCTGAGATAGGTGTCCAAGCTTCTTGAGGAAGCTAAGACAAAGGTCTAACCTTTCCCAAGAAGCTAGACCAAAAGGGTGCAAATGGGGCAAATTCCACCATACACGTGTATGGAGGACAAGTCCGTGCACTCCAGCTGGCACAGCTGGCATGCATAATGCCTTAAAAAGACGAAAATGAGGTGTCGGCCAAAAAAAGAGACCACCGGCCAAATACATGGTCGGCCGACCACACAAAATGCCGATACACCTTAGATAAGTGCCAACCGACCAAATATTTGGTCGGTAGGAAAAAGGAAAGGCCGATGGCTTCATGCCACGGTCGGTGGGTTTCAGGGATGGCTAACAAGCCTCTTCCCACCCTCAGAAGCACAAAACACAAGTCACTGGTGCAAAACCAAGCACAGAACAGGCAAGTTAAGAGATCCTGAGGCAAGGTGCGCAGCCAAGGCTTCCGGGAACTCAAAACGAACACGAACATGGATGATTACCGAGCGTTCGAACGGTGGCGTCCAAGTCTTGAGGACAGTCAAAAATGGCGTGTCTGCACCCCGATTTTTGCCGGGGCAACCTTTTTAACCATTCGACCTAGCACATATCGAAATCCGTAGTGACCATTCCAAGCTAGGACAGGTTGCTTACTCGATTATAGGTTGTTTGAAACCACTGTGTGCGTAGTGAAACCCTAGCTCCTGACAAAATAGGACAGGGAAAACCCTATCCCAACATAGGGGTGTTTTGGCTGTCACTTGTTTGCTATGTGCTTTTAGAGTGTGTCTCTACAAGAACGTATGTATCAGTTTACAAGTTTGGGTATCAGGCCTGAGGGCACCAGTATCGATATTTTGGGAATCAGTCATCTGCGGATATCAGATTCAGATTTGGGGGCAGTAATTTGGGAACACTAATCAGTGTTTGAGAACAGTGTATTCAGCTTGTCAACTGCGTGTTGTTATACCCAACTATGTGTTGTGTTTATTTTAGACGTTATGCTGTCCGTTTTCTGGTTGTTTATTTCCTTATTATTGCTTCATTTATCTTTTTGCTAGGTAGTTTAGCACAATTGCTTCCGACCAAGCGGATATTCCCCAAGCACTCTGGACTAGAGGTCACCGACTCCATCGATCTGAGGATCTGGTAGACGAACAACCAGTGTTCTATTCCTTACCCCTAGTTGCTAGACGAAGGTCAGTGAGGCACAGTGTATCGGTACCAAGATTTCCAGATCAGTGGTCTTTAAACAGTTAGGTTGGGATTTCCGAGTCTACTACAAAGGCAGATACACCGGCAGTTCAGATAAATCAGTGTAGTATGTCAGAGATGGAGGACATGGTGCGTCAGCTCCAGGAGAGCATGAAAGCCATGCAGGAAGACGCTGTTCGTCAAGCAGAATTTGCCAAACAGCAGGCCGTTGTCATGGCCCAACAGGCAAAGCTAATTACCCGGCTACAGCAGCAAACCGACGCATCTGCTTCCCACCAAGCTCCTCCCCCACCAAGAGTTTCGACACTCGGGGAGGCACCAAATGTCCAGGGAGAGACGGACATTCCAACAGGGCTAACTCTGCCCCCAGTTCTACCCCAGCTATCCAAAACACCCACCAACCTACCGGACTCCCCTTTTGAGTTCGAGACGGATCCCACAGCGTTAAAAGTGAGCAAGCTGGAAAAGCTATTCAAGAAATCTCAGGGTGTGAAGTTCAACCCGGACATTGAGGATGGGTATACCGACGCAGCCGTAACGCTGCCAGACAAATTTAAGATGCCGCATATCGACCGATTCAATGGATCCGGGGATCCCATGGTACACCTGCGGCTGTTTTCAAACATTCTAAGGCCAATGGGCCTCACCAGACTACAGAAGCTTTCTTTATTTGAACGGACCCTGTCGGGTGTGGCGGCCATCTGGTACGTAAAACTGGAAGATGATGTTAAAAGGAGTTGGGATGAGATGGTCGAGGCTTTTGTCGCTCAGTACTCCTATAATACAAAAATCAACATTACAACCTGAGATCTCGAGATGACCAGGCAGGAGCCTAAGGAGAGGTTTTCTGAGTTTCGTAACCAGATGGAGGGCCAAGGCCAAGGCCTCAATGATGACCACAAGGCCCACGGACAAAGATCAAATTCGGATGATTGTGCCCAATCTCCAGCCCAAGCTCATGCAAAAAATGATTGTTCTCCCCTTTCCCACATTTCCAAATCTACATGAGATGGGAGTATAGATCGAGGATGCTTTGAAGCAGGGCTTGATTGACAATGACAGAGAGCAACCCAGGAGAACCTTCAACAATCGCAGTACGAATGCAAGCACAAGTAGTGCTGTAGCTGCCAGATCTCAGGAAGTAAGCATGGTCACCACCAACACCCCAAGAACCCTTGCAGCTATGCCATTCACCGGTGAGTCCGATAGTAGCTCGCAAGCAACCAGACACCCACCCAAAAGCCAAAGAACCTTCGCTCCACTATATATGCCCCTGTCCAAAGCTCTGGGGTTTTAATTAGAAAAGGGCACTTAAAGCCCCTAGAGTTGCGGCCATTGCCGGAGAAACTTCCCCCCTTCCATAACCCATCCAAATATTGCTCGTTTCACCAACAACACGATCATGACACCAACCAGTGCTTCTGATTGCGTCATGAGATTCAGGATCTCAATGATAATGGGGTGATCGTGCCTCTAGAGAAACCCAATGTCACAACCAACCCTCTCCCACCACAAAACCAAGCTCCACCCTACAAACGCATCAACTTTATCCACACTGGGGTTACGGCATACGACCCCAGCATATACATCACTCCTTCCTATCTACCTCAGCCAGAGGTGTTCCTTCCTGATAGCACAGACTTGTGCATGTTGGACATCTCCCGAGCCCAATCCAAACCAATAGTGGTGATCATCAAAGGTGGAACAGGGATGATTTCAGAAGAAAATGGGGCTGTTGGTTCAGAATCGAAGAAATCGGGGAGTTTTGCTGAGGAGGTATATAATCCGAGTGATTACATTGTGTCAACAGGTCAAGCTAGGCCGAATTTGGAATTACCGACAGGGGGAGAAATTTGTGTACTACGAGGGGATGACTCTAATCAGAGGATAGACGACTTAGCAGCTTTGGAAGAGGACATGGCTAACCTTCAGTTTTTCAAAAGACAAGGCTCAGCAGTCAACTGGTTTGGTTTTAATGAGTCAACAGAGGTTACGGGGTGGCTTGATGACCAACCCGATGTTGTTGAGGAATCTCAGTCAAGACAGGGCTTGTTAAGGACAAGGACATCAGTTGTGCCAGAAGGGTTGAGGACCAAAATGCATCGCCAAAGAGCGCAAGTGCAAAGAACCTCGCTCGGGACCTGGGCATTCTGGATACAGGAAATATCATATAGTAGGTTGTGTTGACGCAGTTGAAATAGGAAGGGATCGAAGATTCCGAGAGACTTAGAAAAGCTAAAGCCCCTGTGGGGACTGAAAGTGTTGTGTGCACAAGAACAGAGGGTGCTGCGAATGCGTGGATAGAAGATACTGTGAGTACAAGGACAATCATACCGGAGCCGAACAGGTGTCTGTTGGCTGCCGAGGGAATGGGGTAGGAAGACGATGATCTATGTTTTGCCCACACGGATAAGGACTGGGGGAACAATCAACCGGATAATACCTAGTATATCGACGAAGTTAACCATATGACTAGGAGCGGACGGTATTTCAAGCCCCCGAACCTAGATCAACCAGAGGCGTCCGGGAAGGACAAGGAGGCAGATAAACAGAAAGAGAAGCAACTTGAAGAAGAGGCTGTGTTGAAACAGTTGAAAAAGATACAAGCAGACATCTCCATCTGGGGACTGCTTATGGCTTCTCGAGTAAATAGACAGGCCGTCCTTTCAGCCATGGACAAGGCCAAACTCCCGATAGAAGCCACGTTGGAGCAGCTAGTTGGATTGGTTTTTCTAGGAGGAGGTTCCCCGACGTTGACCTTTTCTGACAAAGAACTACCGCCTGAGGGCGCAAATCACAACAAACTTCTCTACATCTCTGTGGAATGTAGAGGCAAGTGGGTACCGGTGGTTCTTGTCGACACAGGATCCGCCATTAATGTGTGCCCGTCGAGGACGGCATACGCAATTGGGTTGAAGCCCGCGAACTTCGTGCCAACTGCCCAGGTGATTCGGGTGTATGATAACACAAGCAGGGAGGTGATGGGGACCATCAAAATTCAGACCCAGGTTGGTCCAGGACAACACGAGATCGATTTCCATGTCTTGGATGTTCCCGCAACCTTTAACCTACTTTTGGGGCGACCGTGGTTGCACCAGGTAAAGGCAGTTTCTTCCACCTTGCACCAGATGTTGAAATACCCTCACGGGAAGGGGGTAGCTATAGTTTTTGGAAATTCATCAATCCATCCGCCGCCGGAGGTGTCTACACCAGTCTTGAAAATCGAGCACAGTAGGGAGGATGTGTTCTTATCGGGATTCACCCTGGTCAAGGCCCGGGTCGTTCAGAACATTTTGGCTGATAATGAGGGATTGTACGTCAGTGCGCAGTCAGTGTATCTCATGAACAAGCTTCAGCATGTCCCTGGGATGGGATTGGGAAAGAGTGGAAAGGCGTTGCTGCATCGGCTGAAGTGCCGTACAACCCGCATACCTTTGGCTTAGGTTATCTGCCCACCAATGAAGATTGGGTAAGGAAAGGTAAGGAGATGGCTGGGAGAGCCAGAGCAAAACGGGTAGGGAAGCCATATGAGTTAATGCACCGGCCCATTCAGGGTACCCTAAACGGACGCTTCGTCCGGAAGGGGGAGGATTTTCCATTCTGCGGCTTCCCAGAGCCATGGTTGAATGTGGAGAGGAAGTGCGTACCAAGTTTTGAGATCTTCTTCGACCTGCAGTTATCCAGGGATGATGTTGCCGAGGAGAAAACAGACCCATCAGCTGAGGTTGAGCTGTGTAAAAATGTAGATTCTGAGAGCACCGAATTTGAAATAGGGGTAGCACTGGCTTGTCTACTTTCAGATCCTCTGATCGTATAGAAGTGCTTGGGGGATAACTTCTCGGTGTCCATGATCGGGAATGAAATGGCTGAGGGCCTACCATCAAACATTTTGGATGCATCCATCGCACCCTCTCTCATCCGGCAATACGAGGAGGGATTTTTATCAAGCAGCACCAGGTCAGGTAGTGAGCCAGAATCTGATTCCACTGAATCTTTGGAGTCGAAATCAGGTTCCAGCTCGTCTGAGTCTGAGTCCGGTAATCCTGGGGGTGATAACCTAGATACCACAGTCCTGTCCAGGTTGTCTTTTTCATTCTTTTTTGAGTCTGTTGTAACAGAGGAATCAGACGAATTGGATATGCTTAATGAGAATGAAATTGCTGTGGTTTCTGAGTACTTTTCTGTGCCTTTGATTTATTGTATTAATCAGGACTTTCAAAATTTTGATGAAAACGACGAGGAAGAAATTCCTCCGATTTTACAACGTCTAATTAATCAAGAGCAGGAGAGATTTGATAAACCCTTGGTTGACGAAATCACTACAGTTAATGTGGGTACTGAAGTGGAGCCGCGGCTGGTCCAGATCGGGTCCACGTTGTCTTCGGAGGAACGCGAGCACTTAGTCGCTTTATTAAATGATTTCAAAGATGTTTTCGCGTGGTCCTACGAAGACATGCCTGGAATCGATCCTGAGATTGTACAGCATCGGATCCCTCTTGACCCAGAGGCCCGACCCGTTAAACAGAAACTCATAAGGATCTTCCCGGACTGGGCCCTAAAGATTAAAGAAGTGGTCACCAAGCAAATTGACGCAGGGTTCCTGCTGGTATCTGAATACCCAACTTGGTTGGCCAACATCGTTCTAGTGCCGAAGATGGATTGCAGGATCCTAGTATGCGTGGATTTCAGGGATTTGAACAGAGCCAGTCCGAAGGACGACTTTCCCTTGCCACATATTGATGAGTTAGTGGACTTCACAGCAGGGTAAGCTTTGCTTTCGTTCATAGATGGATTCTCGGGCTATAATCAGATAGTGATGGCACCTGAAGACTGGGAGAAGGCTGCTTTCACCACCCCGTGGGGGACTTACTGTTACAGGGTGATGCCATTTGGGTTGAAGAACACTGGAACTACATATCCATATTTTGATTTTTCATGGTGTGAAGAGACAAATGTTGTGGGGTGTCCTTTAGCCATTCAAAATGAACTACACATAGGTAGAGCTACCTATGGGTGGCTATATGTTTTCTAGCCTAGGCCATTGGACCTCATTTGGTTGTTGAAAAGAAGCCCACAAAAGGAAAACAAAATTGGAATGTTACAAAAACCATCCATCCAATTCATTCAATTAGTTTAGATTTTAAACTTTCTTTTTGTCTTCTTCATACCGAACAAGTATAGCCAAAAAGATTTCTTGTTACCACTTTCGCTCTCTCTACGGTTGTCTTAGAGTACATTACAAAACGAGTAAGGCTTTTTTTCTCTAGGAATGGACTGAACTGTATTATTTTGGTCTATAATGTTTACTATGTGTTTTCTCTTGTCTAGATACTCTATTTTGGATTGGCATTTCGCCTATTGGTAGGCTTTGTACTAACAGATGATTATGCTTCCTTCTTGTTGCCAATCTAATTGGGATTGTGGAGTATTGGCTATGATGTTTTTACACTTTCCTCTTTTATTGATGTTTATTGTTGCTTGTATTTGCTCATTTCATCAATAAAAGTTTCCATTTTTCTTTGTTGATCAAAATGTTTGCTGTGGGTTCTACTTTAATAAGATTATTTGTTTACTTGAAGTTTTGACTATTTTTTCTTGAAACCAAATTTGCCTCCGGTTCACTTTTTGACGTAGAGGATCTATTGTGGATCTATTTTATATTTGTTTTAATAATCTGAATCATTTAATTTATAATCCATATTAAAGAAAAAAAGAAAAGAAAAGAAAAGAAAAGAAAAAAAAAAAAACCTGGTCAGACATCAAAAATTACCGGATCGAATCGCATTTCCCTTAAAAACAATGGACAATAAGTATGATTTCAAAACTAGAATCTCCATTTTTGTTTCTATACAAATTTAACCAATCATATCTATACAAATTTAACCAATCATATGTCTACCAATATCCCATCAATTTGATTTTTTACATATATGATTAACTCGATGGGTCTTACAAGATGAACAGTTTAGATCATCAAAATAAATTTAAAATGGGTATGCATTCATATAAATTGAACTCTCCAATCCAAAAAGTGGATTTGAGGCAAAATTTTTTTTTTTTTTTTTTTTTTTTCAAGAATCCATTAAGATCGAATCAGACTCAACTCAACATGTTCTTAAAAAAAATTTCTCAATTTTTTTTTTCCTTAGAAAAATGTCATAATATATCTTCCAAGGATGTTAAGGTTAAAGTAACTTGCACTCAAGAATTATCTATTGTTATTTTAGTGAAATAAATATGGTTCAATGTTACATAGGCTAGATTAGTTAGACCCAATGGTCTGACAACTACTTTTTTTGAACAATAAGCTTACACAACACTTTATAATGTGTTAGGTTTTAAAACATAGGAGGATTCCAAGTCCATTTTTTTAATATGAAGAGAGATTATATTATGATTTCTGAATAATTTTATGGTTGGTGGGATTTGAACCCACTTCTCTTGCTTTCCTAAGTAGATGGTGTAATCATGTCCTTGTATAAGATTATTGTATAACAAATACCACATTAATTAATTAATTTGTTTTTTATATATTCTATTGTTAAACGTTATTTATTTTTTTTTAATTTTTGTAGTTTCTACTAAATCTTAACGATTCTCAATTCAATTTAGTTCACAATTGGCTAAATTTGGATTTTGATTTACGATATGATTCTCAATATGCCAACTATGGTCAGGGCATTTCCTATGAGTGTGATATCCAACATGACTGACGCAATTTTGCTAATGTGAACCAATGACTGACCTGGAACGGAATACAATCTAGCATGCCATTATTGCCTCTACAAAGGGCTTAAATGCTTGATAACCAGGGTTATCTATGGCAGACCTGACCACAATAATTTAAGAACATTCCTGAGAGGCTGACAGCTAGACTGTTTAGTAGGAGAAACAGGAATGAGAAGGATTAAGGTGGTCGACTTATCCCTGATTATGTCGTCAGATTAGTATCTAAGAACTTTTGCTGGTAGATGCCCAAAGAGAAGCATATCATATAATTTGATGCTATCCATAGTCTGAGACTGATACATTTTTTTCCCCTTGTTTTTCTTCAAATTCTCACAACTGCACTGGGAATTTATTATGTTGACACAAACTGAGGATAGTCACATATTAGCACTAAAACTTGGATAATTTAGAGAACAAAAAATGACTGTTCATGTGGACATATTTGTAATGCTTTTGTATGGGAAAGAGGGAAATAAAGCAGAATTGTATATCAAAACTTGATGGGGACGGACTGCATCTACCTTAAGTTTTGAACTGGAGATTGTGCTTTTGGATTAATCTGGACCTCAGCAACAGTCTTATCATGGATACAAATGTTGACTAAATAGGCTGGAAGTGTGACCAATTTTATTGATAACTTGGGGTTGTTTTGGGAACTAGCTATTTTAGTTGACTTTTTGGCTTTTTATGAAAAGATGTGCAGAAAAGTGGAGGGAAAAGTTGACTTTTTGGTAGTGATTTTTTGGCTTTTTAGCTAAAATAGGGACTTCCCAAACTTGCCCAAGCTTCCATGTATGCTTGCCACTGCCAGTATAAACACTGTATGTCAAGTGTTCTATCTATGTAGCTCATTTTGATGAGAATGTTCACCAGTTTTATTCAATCACAGCCTGTATCATCAATGCTTCAGTCCATTGGTGAGAGAATTGTTTTGTAATATACACGAGGAATTATTGTATTTCATGACACAACAATACTAATACTAATAATTAATAATAAAAACTACATAGTTGCTCAATTTGGTGTTTCGGTTTACTAAAGAGAATATTGCTGCCTGCTTGTGGAAGGGAGTGGAAGCAGGAATATAGGTGCAGGATATTTAGTGGCTACGTCGCTCTATTTTTTTTAAAACTTTTGGAGCGAGATCTTGTTTGATTTGTGATAATGGATTCAATTCGTGAGGGAAATTCTATGTTTTGACCTAGGGTTGTTCAAAAATCCGTTCAAACCGGTAATCCAGACCGAACTAGACTGAATCTTGCGGTTTGGTTCGGTTCTATTAAGAATTGGTTCGGTTTTGGATTAAGAAATATGAGAACCGTAAAAATGGTATGGTTAATGGATTTTATGAAAAAACCCCAGTTCGAACTGAACCGAATTTTAAAAGAGATATATATATATATATAATATCAAGTTTTATTTTTATTAATTGGTTTCTTATAATTTTAATGATATTAGGATGGTATAAATATTTAATGTTGAGTAATGCCTTAATATTATTAGTTTTTATCATGAGTTAAATGTAATTAGTTTGAGTAATTATTTTGCTAATATTAACAATTTATTCTTGTAAATAGAAATTTTTGGAACCGTGAACCAAACCAAAACCGAACCGTTTTTTCGGTTTGGTTCTGGTCCGGTTTTACAAGTGTAATGGTCTGGTCTGGTTCTCAAAATCACAGAACCGTTAGGATTGGCCCGGTTCTTGTCAAGTTTTATTTTTATTAATTGGTTTCTTATAATTTTAATGATATTAGGATGGTATAGATATTTAATGTTGAGTAATGCCTTAATATTATTAGTTTTTATCATGAGTTAAATGTAATTAGTTTGAGTAATTATTTTGCTAATATTAACAATTTATTCTTGTAAATAGAAATTTTTGGAACCGTGAACCAAACCGAAACTGAACCGTTTTTTCGGTTTGGTTCTAGTCCGGTTTTACAAGTGTAATGGTCTGGTCTGGTTCTCAAAATCACAGAACCGTTAGGATTGGTCCGGTTCTTGGATTTTCTCAGAACCGAACCAATCCAATCCGGACCGTGTACACCCCTAGTTCGACCACCCCTACTTGACGGATCTAATTATTCTTTTTGGAAAGCTCTGATACCAATTGAAAATTTAGAAATCCCTAGATATTGATTTGTGATTATGCATCAATTTTAATGAGTAAATAGCAATCCCAATCAAACAATCAAAGACAAATCAATACAACGATTTAACGTGAAAAACCACAATTAGAGCGCCTTCAATTGTGATAAAAAAACCACGAATGACGATAACAAAATGGCGACAATTGCAACATAAGTTTGTTCCTTTCCTTTGCACCCATCTGGATTTCCCAAAAATGATAATTTTTGAATTGTAGCATTGTTATCCGTGTGAGTTTTTTTACGTAAAAGCTCATTTCTTCTCCTTGTTGGACACTTGATTTCAGGAATTCCTTCTCTTATCTCAAAAGTACTGAAATTATCACCTATCTCAACCATGAGTTTCCCCCATTCCTTTGCGTGTTATGACTTTTCTTATTTCAAATTAACAGCCCTTATGCATTATTGAATATGTCTTATTTTCTGTTTTTTTTTTTTGTATTTATGCGGTTTATGGAACTGGTAAATTGGTACCTACATGAATCATTCATTTTTTGTTATCGATTTCTTTTCTGCTGAAGAAAGGAATATGTTTTAAGCCTTGTACTTTCTCCCCCACCCCTTGTTAGTGCAGGCTGAGACTGAAAGAGAAGTTGGATATAACAAGGGAGTTTCAGATAAGCAAATTCGCTTAAAGATTTCATCTCCAAATGTTCTTAATATCACTCTTGTTGATCTACCTGGGATCACTAAGGTTCCTGTGGGAGATCAACCTAGTGATATAGAAGCAAGGATTAGGAAGATGATGATGTCTTATATAAAGCAAGAAGCCTGCATCATATTGGCAGTTAGTCCGGCAAATTCTGATCTGGCAACATCTGATGCACTGCAGATGGCTAAAGAGGCCGATCCAACTGGTAGGTTTTCAATGTTGCTTGTTTCGATGACATGATTTGGAAACATTTTTTTTACTCCCCTTCTAGTATTCTAAGAATTTTATATAAGACAGCTACATGTATATGAGGTATGTCAATCTGCACCTGCTATGATTCATTTACTCAAAACTTGGTTAAACAGGTTCCCGGACTATTGGCGTAATTACAAAGGTCCGTGTTACATTATAATATCTGTTTTGCCCTTCTTTAGCATTTTTTTGTGTGATTATAAATTAGTTTTCTTTCTGTTATATGATTGAGTGACATTATTAATTATTATTGTACTTTTACTCATGATGTAGCTAGACATAATGGACAGGGGAACTAATGCCCGCAACTTTCTGCTTGGAAAAGTTGTTCCACTTCGCCTAGGTTACATTGGCGTTGTGAATCGCAGTCAGGAGGTAAACTGTTCAAAACTATATTTGCAATATCCGTCCTTTTATTGTTTGTGTTTTTGCTCCCAGCCCCTCTTTGAGGAGCATGGCACACATCATGTTCCTACTAGGACTAGGACTTGAACCGTACACCTTTTTATTTGGGGATGGCAAGATGACAAAATTCCCCGACCCGATTGTATTTGTTCCAACCCGATTTTAATATAAATAGTTTGAGAGAGCATTGATTGGGTAGGGTAAAGTATTAGGAAATTGTATCACTATGAAATTGTCACTATGAAATTATCACTATGAAATTGTATTAGGGTAAACTGACAAGTTTAGGGTAAACTATGAAATTGTATCACAAAAATAATTGAGTTTAAAAGCAAGAATTCGCATGTGAAACCTGAAAAACCTGACCTGTTGCCATCCCCATTGGCAAGAGATGCCAATATAGCTAATAGTTGGTGGTATATATGAACGTTAATCTGGTAATATTTGCCACATTATTCACCAGTATATTATTGATGCTTATTTTGTTATTGTCACTTGGTAGTATGTATATGTTTGGTCCTTATTGGGTATTGCATTATTTTGAAAGCACATGTTTCCAATTTGTTTTTCTGGGTATTATTATGTAGTCCAAGAGTCGCATGTAAAATGCATTTTAAATTATTGTTCTGTTAAGATTTAAACTATTACTACTGTCATGAGTTATCTTAGTTACATTGCCTACTAAAATTTGAGTTTAAAAGCAAGAATTCTCACGTGAAACCTGAAAAACCTGATCCGTTGCCATCCCCATTGGCAAGAGATGCCAATATAGCTAATAGTTGGTGGTATATATGAACGTTAATCTGGTAATATTTGCCACATTATTCACCAGTATATTATTGATGCTTATTTTGTTATTGTCACTTGGTAGTATGTATATGTTTGGTCCTTATTGGGTATTGCATTATTTTGAAATTACATGTTTCCAATTTGTTTTTCTGGGTATTATTATGTAGTCTAAGAGTCGCATGTAAGATGCATTTTAAATTATTGTTCTGTTAAGATTTAAACTATTACTACTGTCATGAGTTTTCTTAGTTACATTGCCTTTACAGTGATTATCATTTGAACTAATTAGGCTAAGCTCGATCTAATTTATTTGTTACAGGACATAAATAAGAACCGTAGCATTGCAGAAGCACTTGCATATGAGGAACAGTTCTTCCAGGATAATCCTGTACTTTTCACTTCAGATTATTATTCTGAGCTCAATCCCTGTATAGTTTTGCATTGGTTCTGAAACATTTAACATTTGTTGATTGGCATATATGTTGAAGATATATAATGGTCTCTCTGATCGTTGTGGCATCCCCCAGCTAGCGAAGAAGTTGAATCTGGTTAGTTTTCATTTGAAAACCCCGCCTCCCCCCTCCTAAGCATATATTAAGTGAATTCTTTAATAATTAACTATTATATGAAAAAATCATTGGTAATGTTATTAGATCTGATTCATCTGAACAAAAACCACGTATCAAAGTCCCTTTTTTCCCCCACTGATGGGTAATTGCAAATGTTTTGAACTGCGAGAAGAATTTTATTATGAGATAAGGATTATGAAGAGCTGTTGTTCTATTTGGTTTGCTGGAATGAGATGAATTTGAATGGAATCGTCTTTCCTTATTCTCCCCTATGGAATGATCATTCCCTTATGATGGTGGATGTTATTATTTTTTTAGTCAACCAAATATGGGAATGGACATGTTGATGGAATGATCATTTCATTCCACTGCATTCCAGGAAACCAAACACTAGAGGTTTGCAGTAAAATATAATTTGCATCTAGAAAATGAAAATCAATGATTTGATCCTCAAACATGTGACCAGAAATTTACTAAATGTGTAATGGCTTTGTCTGCTTTACAGTAGATCAATTCTCAAAAAGTTTTCAGCCTACAGCTTCATATCTCTACTCTTGGATGTACCTCTCTTATTTTCTTTCTTTCTTTCTTTTTTTATTTTTTTATTTTTTTATTTTTTTTAGAGTTAATGATTTTATTGAAGTTAGCAGTGCCAGGGAATTTTGCATTTTTTTGATATTTTTTAATTGAATGTGCTACAATTTTAAAAATATTATTGTCCTACTTTTTGTGTATTACTCAGACATATTTTGCAGAATTTGTTTAAATTCTGGGATAAATTACACTTTTCACCCTAACTTTCACCCAAATTTTACTTTGGTTTGTTAACTTCTAATTGCAATGATTAAGTTTTAGACTTCAACTCATGTTTCAATGTGGTCCTCTCGCTACCCACCATTTAAAATTTGAGTAAGAATTAGGGACTGAAGTGGAATTTAAAATAAAGTTGGAGCGTGAAAAGTGTAAATTGTCCTATAATTTTATTTCCTTTAATTCGTTGAACAAATGCTCTTGCAATCACTTTCTGTCAAAATCATGAAATGTGGGTAACGAGAGGAGCACATTGAAACATGGGGTGAAGTTTGAGTACTTAATTGTTCCAATTAGACGATGAGGGATCAGAGCGAGAGTGGTATCTTTCTTTCTTCCATCTTTACTTTATTGTTATTAGATTTATTTTATTTGTGGTGTGCTAGTGTGCTTATATGCTAATGTCACTGGTCACATTATATTTAAGAAAAAGTGAAGCGCCCTACACAGTAATTGAGAAAACAGATAAGGGATAATATGAAATTCCAAAAACTTTGAGATGTCTGAAAAATAGACGAATAAAGGAGATTGGTTGCAGGGAGGAAAGGGGTCTATTTCAATCTATTAGCATAAACCCTTTTTCAGAGGAGCCTAAAAAACATAGACAATTCTAAGAAGGTGGCATGATGTAATGGACATCGGCATGACACAACACTCATTGGACACATCTTGACATTTGTCGGACACTTGTCGAAACAATCCTATTTTTTAAACTTTTCTAGACTCAAATACGCTTTAGACACTTGGGGTCACACATAAATGATATATTCTAATTTTTATCCTTGTATATGACATACAATAAATATATAAAACTATGTATTTTGCACGTGTCCCCCACACATTGTGACATGTCTATATCCGTGGCATGTCCATGTCTGTCCTTGGGAGTAGCTGTGCTAGATTTTTGGCTACTTTACTGGACCGCCTGCAAACATGTCATAAGCACATCAAACTTAACCAACTTTTCTTTAGGAAAGATTGATGTAATCGCTTGGCAAAGTGTAGTGTACAGTAAAACCTTCTCATATAATGAACAAATAAAAAAGAGAGTAATAGTGAAAATAATATTACAATGTTTCTGATATTTGTTGAGCAGTGTCTATATGGTGTTTTAGGTAATCAAAGTTACATAGTTCTCATATAATTTGTTATTGTATATAGTAAAATATTATATATTGTATGTCTTATATAATTCTTGAGGATTTGTTGTGTTGGTGTATCTGTGTCATGTCATGTGTATGTTTACATCTATGCTATATAGATTGTATTAATTGAGGAATATTTCTAATATTGGTGTGTGCCATTCTTGGAGACAATAATATGACTAAAATTATCTGATGCATAGAAGTAACCAAAATTGCACATTAATTTCTAGAATAAAACATGAAAACTAGATGATACGCATTTATGACTCATCTCAAGGTGCTCACATGTAGTTGGAGTTGTAACCTAGTACTTAAAGATGCTGTTGCATTGGTTCAACACTGCCCAAGGTTATATGCAATTAGTCTCATGCATATGCATATGTCTTAATATCGAAATCGTAACTATAAAGATTGAAGAGAAAGCATAATGAATGATAATGTTCAATTGAAAATAATTTCAATAATGCATTTGCTTCCATGATCCATTGACAATTGGTTTACTATACACTTTTCGAAATGATACAGAAGTCTGCTGGGGATATTATAGGAGCAAGTCTAAGTGTAAGGTGTTGTTGTACTGTGTGAAGGAACTTACTATGTAGATAAATTGGACATAGTAAATTCATAAACACATATTTTGCCATGTCTTCTCTCAATTTGGGGGATTTTGTGTCTGCCAATCCTTATTTCACTATGCTATATGGACTTGGTTATGGGTGTCAGGTGCAAGTATGTATCTAGAGGTCGGACTCATCAAACCATAAATTTAAGGTTACTCTTAACTTGGCCAAAAAAAATCATATTTTTATATTTTTAATCAAATATGTGAGATAAAATCGTGCTATATGTTACTTACAATGTCAAAAAGACATTTATAGCAATTATACGACAATATGCACATATAATAATAATGTTATCTACAATTATATAAGAAGTATCCATTGAAATATATCCGACACATCCCATACCCTTGTCCGAGTGTCAAGTGTCCGACACGTGTATTTGATTTATTTTGAAGAGTCTGTGTAACAATCATATTTAGATTTGCTTCCAAATCATGTAAGGCATACCTCATATGTTTTCTTCTTCTTCCCAACTTCTAGGAGACTTTGAGTTTTTAAATTATCATACAAACCTAATGTTCAATGTAATATACTTTTCATGGTGAATCTGTATGGAGTTTTGTTTTTGTCTAAAATTGTGGCTTCCTTATCTCATTCTCTTTGCATGTGACTGGATTAGGGCTTCGATCTGGCCGTCTAGGGCTTCAATCTTTGATTGGGTTTTGTTCTTTTTCTTTTAGTTCCTGGGATGCAGAACAACTATTAAGAAATTCATCTTGTTTTTAATTGATGCAACACGAGAAAATATGGAGAGTGGTTCTAAAAGAAAAGAACCACGATTAAAGAAGTGACGAGGAGATTTGTATATAAGGCATGTATATGGGGCTTATATATATACATATATAACTAGGAGGTGATGAGGACATTTGTTTAGTTAGGGTAGAAGAGGTGATTTTCTTTGAGACGACAATGATGGGAGAGAATTAGTGGTGGTCGAGTGTGGGAGGGGTTTGCTGTCACGACCCCAACTCGCCCCAAACATGATGGTATAGTGATCGGCCAGTAGTCCTTAACTACCAAAGGCTTAACTAGACAAAAGCAAGTTGGACTCTTAAAATAATTGGGGCAAAGGTTTCTATTTTAGAGTGTGGAAGCCATTATTTGTTTATATTGAGTCCATTTGAAACATCCATTTAGAGCAGTGCATAACTAAATGAAATGAAAACATACATTTTCCTTAAAATATTATCTACATTATTACATGACTTACCTGATAAAATAAAAATACAACACTTATAACATAACTTTACAAATCCAGCATAAGCATATAAGCCTGGCTTCTAACCAACTTCTCTTTATACTCGAACTTGTCGTCACCTACATATATATATATTTTCAAAACAAAACATGCTTATCTTGCAACATATATATAGTGAACATTCTGAAGGCACTTCGAGTCAAGAGTCAAGTGGCCACAACCGGTGGTAGAGCTCAGTTAGCAAGAGGGTATTGGCATGATTTCTAATAACAAACAAGTTCGAAGATGTCATCTTAATACATGATACAAAAATATATGTTGTTTATTCATAGCAAAATAATATCTTAGCTTTCATAAACATACCATATGTTTGCATTTCCAATCATAATTTTAAGAAACATAGCTTTACTACACTATTACTCACAGATGGCTCCGAACAAGGGGTTTTCTCCTCCACAAAGCATGAGCAAGACATTGAAAACACACAAACTAGCAAGCTTCTAAATTCATTTCAAGTGTTCTAATTTAACTTAATGTTTCTTAATATTTTCTTAGATTATCCAAGACTTTTCTAAGCCTAATTCAAGTCTAAGTCAAGTGCCAAATATGTTTCGAGTGCATGCCTAGAAGTATTCTAGGTGATTAAGGCTTGAAGTATGTCAAAGTGTGCCGAGAACATCTGTCGAAGGGCCTTAAGTATTCTACAACAATTTCATATGTTTTATGTTGAAAATATCATGTTTAGGTATTTAATGTTTAATAAAATAATAAGAAATGAAAGAAAATTAAGTTAGGAGAAGAATTAGCATGAAATGGTTAGAGAGAAAATGAGCAGCCTTCACTAATTTGAGCATATCTATTTGTGTACTTAGAATTTGGATGTGAGACCACCACCATTGGAAACTAGCCTTCTGGGGCTTGAATTTAGACTCAAGAATCGCTTAAAATGGAGTCCGGATGAGAGATATGCCTATTTGGAGTTGGGCTGAAACAGGGAAATCTGCTCGAGCGGATTTTTGGGGTTGCATGGGTGGATTTAAGCAGTAGCAAAAATTGAGTTTTGGGGTTCAAAGTGCTCGAGCGGAAGTCAAATCTGCTCGAGCAGATCTGGTTGCTTTAGAATACTTGGTTTGAATCCAAAAATTTAGGTTTGGCATCCCCTAAAAAAGCCAAAAAGTCAAAAAGTCATTATCCTATTTAAGT